TAGCAAGAGTAAACTGATTATAAACTCCAGGTAGTGTTCAAGTGTTTTTAGATAAATGTTAATAAAATGGCAGTCTTGTAATTTGCTTAAAGAAATGATAAAAAGATACAATCGTATCATCTTTGCACATATCTTTATTGTTACTGGTGACCACAACTCCTATAATTTTTGTTGTTCTTGTTTCTTATATGTGTATGATGCTTATGTTTGTATTGACCTCATTTTTCTTTCTCCTTTCTCCCAAAATAATCTAATCCAGAGTTTGGAATATCAATATTCCCCGTGATTGTTAATTCTGACCATTTGGCCCAGTCTGTTGCCTAAGTTCAAAAGTCATAATTCCGGCAATCAGAATCTTAAAGTTTCTAAACATGTCTCTTTGTATCACCAACCACTTCTGCTTGCCCTGAACATGTGCGCACACATGTCCTTCACCCACTTCATCCTTCCTAGGCCATGTATTTTGTAAAAGCACAGACTGCCCTTTTGTATTTGATGTGTAGGTCATCTCTCAGTCTTGGCTAATGCAAGGTGATTTCAGACCAGAAAAAGTCTCATTATCAGCTATAAATTAATTTCCCTCACCTTTTTAAAGTTTCATTGGATGAACCAGAATATCGAAATAAAGACAACGAAAGTTAAGAATCACACTGCGGGGCTGCAGACATGGCTCAGCAGTTAAGAGGACTGACTATTCTTCCTGAGGACAAGGGTTCAAATGCCAACCCCCCTGTGACAGTCAAACCCTTCTGTAACCCCAGTTTTAGGAAACTGGATGCACTCTTCTAGTCTCAGCACGTGTTGTATGTATGAGGTACATAAGATATACATGCAGACAGAGCACCAATGCACCTAAATAAAATAACCCTTAAAAAAGGAATTATACCACACAGAATAAAGATAGCTATTTAAATTAAATCACGTAAAAACAAGACTATCATTATATCTACATCATAAATTAAATGTGTTTCCGTACTGGCTGCCCAGTATTTCTGGGGGTTGAGCAGTATTTTTCCAGGACTTAATTCAGAATTCACCACAGATAATGTCACCACCATTCATGTACCGGCCCATTTATTTGAGCATTCAAATATCACAGATGCTCTGTTCACAAGATGGTTGGAAGGTGAAATAGAAAGTCTTGAAACCTTGCTTTCATTGTCAGCAAATAGATGCTAATTTTCTTTAACTGGGGAGATAGCTCTTTAAAACAAAGCATATGACCCATCTATATGTTAATAGCTGCATCGTTGGGTTTCTGTAACTATAAACAAGTCATCTTACTTTTGAGTTTTAATGGGTTGATTACCAGCTCTGACAATAAATATAGTTCTCACTGTAAAAGACTAAAAAATATAGTAAATTCTTCAAAGTAATGGCATGCCAAATTTTACTGAAAGCCTTAGAGTCTGATGTCTGTGATGCAGAAAGATAAACATTTTGTGGGACCCATGCCTGCTATAGTGTGTTCACAACTTAACCAAGGCAGCTCAGGAAAAAGAAAAAAAAAAAAAAAAGAGTTTCTGAAATGCCATGTGGAGATGATAGCAAAGTTCAAAACATATAATTAAGGCTCATTTAAATATGGTAACTAAAGCTGATTTAGCATACATATGATTGGGTGTTCAGTTAGCTTTAGAACCTACAAACCTATTATACAAACATGCATCATTGAAAAGTGTCCTTACATAGATGTATTTAAAACTTCTTTGATGACTTGAGAGATGAGTGGGATGGTAACAAATTGCCTTTCCTAGGAAAAATCACTTTACAAAGTTCCCTAATCTGGTCTGGCAAAGTCAGAGAATAAATGTGATTTGGGGGAAAGCACATACATTTGCATGGAGAAACAACAATAATGGAAACTGACTAAAAGGACAGGAAGAGCAAGGTAGAATACAGAGTTTGCAAATCAAAGTTCATCAACATTAGTCACCTAAAAATAGCAAGTGCTCTCTAGTTAGATTTCCAACTCTAATGTTTTTTCACTCAAGAGGGAATGAAGTACATATGAAATGGAATTTGATCATTGAAATCTTTCCATTCCTGTGGTTTTTAAGAGAAGCTCTTGGGCTATCTATGCGGTGGTTTACAGGCCATTCACCGTTACTGTGTGAATTCTTTGCATCAAGTCTAAACAGCAAAGGGCAGCCTGCAGCCCCTCTTCATACCAGCACTTGCTAAGGTCTCATAACTCCATCTTCCAAGAGTTGGTCAGAGTAGAGGAAAATGTGAAAGGAAGAAAGGAGAGCTGTTTTCAGTGGGAAATGCATCAGGCCTGGGAAGCTGGGGTCCTTTCACAAGGCATGCTGGAGTAGGCTAACATGGAGTATGATTTCTTTGAGGTAGTTATCGAACATAACCATAATTGTAAATTGAATTGTATAAATTTAAAGAAATCTTGATCAAAACACAAGTACTAAAACATTTAAGGTTCATTCCTTCAGAATGATTTTTCGCTACATTCTTTGTTATCTGTGCTTTTGGAGTTGCTTATGCCTCTTATTTTATCTGGATATTAGAAATACTAAATAAAAGTTTACTTGTAACTGGCTGAAGTAGGAGTACTTATAGCAAAGACATTGGAAAATGTTACAAGTTGGGATATAACTTATGGCACACTGAGCAATGGTCCTATCAAACTTGTGAGTAAATATATTTCAATAATGCATGTATGTAATACCTGTAGCCACTACATTGTAAACCGAAATTCATATAAATAATCTTTCAGTGACTGAAAATTATTATACAGTTCAGAAAAAGAAATTTTGATCATAGATAGTATTGATGAAATTCCATTGTTTCAGTGTATTCTTTCTCCTTAAAACAAATAAAATATTAACCAGTATTCATATCAAAACAATGACATCAAGAGTTTGTCAAACTCAACAAAAAAATCTACCAGATGTAATTTCAACTATAAGCCCTTTATATAAATAATGCTATCATATATGACACAATAATGTAATAGAAAAACAAATGCATGTTGGCTTTTTTTTTTTTTTTTTTCAACTTGACACAGGCTGGGGTCATTTGGAAAGAGAAAACCTCAGGTGAGAAAAATAACCCTATGATACATGCTCTTAATTGGTGATTGATGTGAGAGTCCAGGTCACTCTGGGCTGGTGGCCCTGGGTGTGTATAAGAAAGCAAATCATGGGGAGAAACCCAAGAACCATCATTCCTCGTGGCTTCTGCTTCAGTGTCTCTTCTCAAACTCCTGCCTGGAGTCCACATCGTGATGCTAACTATGGACTGTGATGTAGATTATAAGATTTTGGTCATAGTGTCTTATCATAGCCATAGAAACTTGCTGAGACAATATGTATGCTTTCTTTTGTTTAGGATGTAGTTCATATATGCTTATAATCACCCCTCTACCATAGTACAACAACTTACTGGAGGGGGTTTGGGGGGGAGTTTATGAGTTCCTTATAGGCAAATTAATGAAATGGGTATCTCCCAGAGAATAATTTCAGGAGTCAAAAGAAATGTTTATGGGAAAAAAACACTATATAAACGGAGGCTATAGACATTGTCTTAAATTCAGCAACTGTGTTTCCACTCCTGGGTGCTAAAATGCTAAATACTTGCACTTGAAGTGTTTGGGAAGCATAACTTTTGGCCCTAACTTCTTATTGTTTACAATGATTAGAAAATCAGTGATGTTTATGTAAATAGATAAGAATCAAGGGTTGACTGAATTTATTCAGTTTGCTAAGTTGAAAGCCAGGTTCATTTCTAAAAATTACTGTATAAGTTGTCTGTTGACTTTTTTCTCTAAGGTAAAACAAAATACTCACATGAAGTTTTATATATTTCAAGAAAACAGAAAAAACACATTTGGTGTGTGTTTCTCATAGTGCAGACTAGGTTGTCCTACAGGCTTATGAATTTATTTGTTTTGGGTGGATTATAGAACATTTAGCTTATATAAAATGAAGCTCTGGGCAAAAACTGGCAAAAAAACTTGTAAAAGTGAAAATGTTTTTTAAAAGCTCCAGGAAACAAGGACTAACTCATTATTACATCTCCCGGTTAATGGGTCAAAGAGCCCAGCAAGAGCTATAGTCCTTCCTTAAGTTCACTGAAAGCTTCTTTCCTGGCTGGACTAAATACCCTAGTTCACCTTTGAGGTTTGTGTCGAAAGATAGACAATGCTTCCCAGAAAGTGAGTTAATCTCACAAAGTCTGGCACAGGAGATGGCAGCCTTGACTTCTGGTGACCATGAAACACACCACAGTGTCAGCCCTGAAAACAAAAGGATCGCGAGTGTTTGCTTACAACCAGAAAGGTCTTTTTCTTTCCACCCTGCTTTCTAACTTCGGATTCCTACTCACTCCCTGGGCAAGGCGCCAAGTCAAAGAAAAGCCCTGTCCACTCCCGCAAGACAGCTGTCAGCCGGTCGCAGCCCGACGTGCAACATTTCAAGAAAATCAAAAGCCGAACTGAAATGGCAGAGACTGAACTTGTGGTCCCCAAGCACAGCCGCATCTTCCTGGAGTCCTAGAGTAATCAACCATCACCTTCCAGCTGCTGAAAGTGAGAACCACCAGAAAGCTGAGACTGCTGCTGTCTCAGAAGCTGGCGGTCCACAGACACCTTCTAACTAAACAACATCCCGTCGCCTGAAAACCATCCCGAGCCCTGAGCCCGGATATAACTTCAGCAGTATTGCAGAGGGTGCACACACACGCCAGGTGTCCGACAGAGGGGCGGGGAAATCACTCTCTGGGAGCGCCACCCCAGCTGCCCTCGGAAAGCGTGGTGGCGACGCAGCGCACCGGACCAAAAGTAAGACCGCGCCCTCCTGCGGGCAAGAGCTACTGGGCTGGAGGCGCAGGCACCCTGGATGGGACAGCGAGGGTGGGGATCCATCCAAAGCGTTCTGCGTGCTCACGGATCTTTAGCCATGAGCTGCAGGTACAAGGCTGGACCTCTACCAGCCGGTCCGGAAGGTCAGACTGATCCCAGAACTCGGACTCAACCAGGCACTTACCAGCTGTAGCGCGCAGAGACAGATGAGCGAGCAGCGCCCGGTGCAGCAGCCCATGGTGTGACCGGCGTCCCAGCAGCGCGGCTTCACGGAGATCTGAGAGCTCAGTCACCGTCGCCTGAGACTCCAGAGCAGCCCGCGCCGCGAGCGCTTGCGGGATGGCCAGGCTCGGGGCCCCAGGGCCAGCTTTCGGCTCGCGGCAGCCTGGCCGGAGTTCGCCGCCGCCTTTGTTAATCTGCACGCAGGGCAGGAGGAGGTCAGTGCGGCGCTCCTTCCAGAGCCGCTCGCTTGCTCGTCAGCCAGGGTCCCTGCCTCCTAGCCCGCGGGTCTGCTTCTTGGGGAGGGGGAGCCCGGCGCGGGAGGGCGGGGGTACGGAAGAGGCTACAGCTGGTGAGTGGGTGAATGCCTTTTAGGGGAGGGGAGTGTGCTGGAGGTGGGCGTCTGGAAAGTGCGGTGGGCTGTCTGAGTAGGCGAGCGAGCGTGTATGCGTGGAGTCTCTCTCTCTCTCTCTCTCTCTCTCTCTCTCTCTCTCTCTGTGTGTGTGTGTGTGTGTGTGTGTGTGTGTGTGTGTGTGAGAGAGAGAGAGAGAGAGAGAGAGACCCCGCCACTGGGGAGGATCGCCTTGTCTTATTAGGAGTCTGGGGAGAGAGAAAGAGATTGTGAGAGAAAGAGAATGAATATGAATGAGTAGAAATCCGGGAAGCCCCAGGGATTTGCGTTCCTGGCGCCCGGAGCAATTGCGGAGCGACAGGCCTTGGGCTTTCCCTCTTGGTGTGAAGAGTGGCTGGAAAACAAGGAGCTAGGTTTATTTAGCCAAGCGGTCTCTGGGAGGTGCAGGTTCAGTTTAGAGTAAGGGTAAGAAGGACCCAGAGACTTGATGCTCAGAGTGAAAAGTGCCATGCACAGCGCAGGGACAAGGTCCGGGCAGTGGATGCAGACACGGAAGACAGGCCAGGCAGGAAGAGGTGATGGGCTTGGCGCTCAGAAGCAGCTTATTAAGAGTTCTGGCACTCAGCCCTGGGTCCAAGTCTCAGTCAGGTTTTTTTTTTTTTTTTTTTTTTTTTTTTTTTTTTTTGCGCAGGGCGCCCCTGCTGGAATCTTGTAGGAAAAGTTGACTAGGGTTGCAGCAGAGAAAAATGTTCCACCAGGAGCTCAGAAATGAGAGACAATGTGAAAATTGAACTTCAGGATCTAACTCAAAGTGCTCTGGGAATCTTTACTGGGACCTTTATTGGCAAGGGGAAGGCAAGGACAATGCACAGCATTTTAATAACAATGAGGTATTTCTAGAATAAAGGCAAATATGAAGTTCTACAGAGATACATGGAGAAGAATCTGGGAGTAAACCCTAATCATAGTTAAGATACCAAAGTCTATGGATTCTATAGAAAGGTCTGTTTCCCCTGCCCACCAACAGAACAGAGCCTGGAGTTCTGTAGACTTAAATTTCCTCAGGGCTCAGCACAAGTAGCTAAAATCACCCTGACCAATTGCCTGCAAAGAAGCAGACTTCAGAATAAGGCTCAAAACACTATTATTACCCACTGCTGGCCTCCTAAAAGGTTCTTGGTTTATAGATTAAGAGAAGGTGAAGGTAGGTGGTGTCTCATGCCTTCTGTCTCAGCACGCCGTAGGTATAAGTTAGCTGATGTGTTTCAGTTCAAGTCCAGCCCCTGTGTAAAGACAGGAAAGATGAGAGATCGTTGTAATACCTTTGCTCCAGACTTGGAGATTGCCCAACCCATTCAGGCAGTAAAGGTATTTTGGGTTTTGATTAGCTTGTCGGTAAATGTCCTGTTCTTTAAATATTTTCTCTATGAATATTTTTTTAATTTTGCAATAGTGTTCCAAAGAAATATCTGCCCATTGTATCCCTGAAATTATAATAGGAACACACAAGTTAACTCAAATTGCTGTCCAAGAAAAAGCCAAGAGTGTTCATTGTTGCAAGTCCATTTCTTTTCATTCTTTTGTGAAGGGGAATGTGTAGTCACAAGTCCTTTTATTTATTTTTAACATAAGTTTAAGACATCTATGCTCAAAGACTGTGAGGGAGTGCAGGTTTTTATACACATACAACATATTCATGGCCATCACAGGTGAGTGAAAGCAATAAAAAGATAGACACTGAGAAATAAATAGTTTAGTACATGGGGAAAGACTAGTAGAAAGTCTGGATCATTGACTACTCTAGTTGCTGAGGGAAAAGGTTGCAGAAGAGGGAACAGATAAGTCTGTCGATGTCTTCCATGAATTTTAACAACCCCTTCAAGTCCTGAGGTTGTGAAACCAGTGGTCCTCTCCAGCTCATAGGACAATGTATTTTACTTATGAATTATTTCATTTATTTAGGAAGCCCTATACAACAACAGGCACCTAATGCTTGTCTATTGCCAGGTTCCATCCGCTGTGCATATCCATTCATTTTGAAGTAGGTGCATGGACAAGCTGTAGATGCAGATAGAGAAAGTTCTCTGGTGACCACAGGGAGGCACCTGGATGTGAAGGCAGTCAATCTAACTGGAAAGCCTTTGGACTTCCAATTACCTTGCTGTCACTAAAACCTAGTGCACAAAGCATTTCCTCTTGGGGGGGGGGGGTAGTGAGCCTATGGGGGCATGGAGGCTGGGGACTGCTCTCTTAGAAGAAGAGATTTGCACCAGGCCAACCCCAAGGCTGTCTTACCAGGTGTGATGATGTTTTAGAAAACCTGAAGTCCATGTGCACTTCTCTTTCAGCTTCCCAGAGACCCAGACTGGAAATGTGTCTTTGTGTAATTCAAACAGCTGAAAATGCATTGATTTCAAATGCATTTTTAGAAAGCAAGTCAACTTCAATAATGAGTGTATAGGTTTATGAAGTTTGGGTTTTCACTGATTGTAACCCTTACATCTTATCTTTATGCAGTGCTGGAAATCATGAGCTGACGACATAGCAGTTATACATTTGTGTAGGTGCAGGGAGTTTTGTTGCTCTTCATTTGTTTTTTGTTTCATTTTGTATAGGGAGTTTTGTTGCTCTTCATTTGTTTCTTTGTTTATTTTCCCTCTTGTATCTTTGATTATTATTTTGCCAAATGGGGACTAAGTCTCCCAATAAAGGAACCCAGGGGAAACATTTTCATTCAAACCACCACAGCTATCATTTTCTTTTCCTATTTTAACATGCACATGAAATCCTAAAGAATTACACAAGTACACAAAATATACTATTTATCCTATTTAAAAGAAAACATTAAGATGGACTTACAATTCAAAATGAATACTGTTTTACTTTTACCGTATGTGTTTAAAGTTTTGATTTTCTCTGTTTGGCAAAAGAGGTAGAATATGGGGTCTTGCTCCATCCGTAGTACATGCTCTGTCAATGATCTGAGTCATTCACTGTCCCATTGGGCATTTTTATTCAGGTAATTGAGAAGAGTTTCAAACAACCATTTAAAATAGCAAAGGAATGCATAATGTCCAATAAATTAGTAACAAGAGAATGAGCAATCACTTCTTTAATCTGCACTGTGATATAATAACTAATGACTTCTGGGAGAGGAAGAATTAACTTCTCCGAGATGAATCCTTAATTGGTTATCTACTACTATAAGATGGTCAGCGTTGAAACCACAGACACACACACACACATGCATGCACACAAAACACACTGGGGGTGTTCAGCAAGTTATATTTGTGGTTGTGCACATTATACACACGCATACATGTGCAGATACATAGGCTGGCATATGCATATGTAATAATAATCAAAGAAAAAGGGGCTATCCAGCCAGGCAGTGGTGGCACATGCCTTTAATCTCAGCACTTAGGAGGCAGATGCAGGTGGATCTCTGTGAGTTCAAAGCCAGCCTGGTCTACAAAGTGAGTTCCAGGATAGCCAAGGCTACACAGAGAAATATTTTCTCAAAAAAAAAAAAAAACCAAAACAAACAAACAAACAAAAAAGAAAAAAAAGGCTATCAATTTGAGAATGAGGTTGCATGGGAGGAGTTGGAGGGAATGGACTTGGGAGTGGTCAGAGAGAGGAAAGTGAAGGGGAAAAGTGATGTAACAATGTTTTATGTAAAAATGGATAAAAATTTAACCCACATAGTACACAAATTACCTCTTTATGAATGTGTTTTGTTTTGTTTTATCTGTGTAGCATTTTAAAAAGGCTCTCCTTTGAATATTTTAAAATATGCTTTTAGGGAATGAGAAGTGGCATTTGAAGATAAACTGTAACAGCTACCTTTGCATTTAGAGTCTACATGTGCCCTCAGTAATGCTGTGGGTACATCAGAAAGAAGTCTGACTTGCCATGAGAGAGCATGTTTCTACTGTGTTTTTACCAGTGTATTTTCTATAATGTACCTACATTGAAAAGAGATGAGGAATTAATGGATTTTTGAGAGGAAAAGAAAGGTAGAAACTTAGCTCAGGTTTTATTTTACTCAATATAAAGATGTATTTATCAACATAAAATAAAAACCAAAATTGTGCTCAAATCCACCTTCTGGCTAAAAACAGCACAGACACATCCATATAGGTATTCAGGTGTGGTAGAGCTCTGCTACTGTAACAGAGAAGAAAACACAGGAATTCCTTTCACCAAGCAACAAATCCAGTCAAGGAAACTCTAAGGACTGGGGCCAGGTGGAGATGGGAACAGGACCAGGACGGATCAGAACTGGGGTGGGATTGGGGTGGGGAGGAAGTGTTCTGGGAGAGAAACTGGAGATGGAGAGGAAGGAGCTCACCTCAGCTGTGGTTAAGCTTGGAGGAGGATCAAACATATAAAATCACATATTGAATATTATAGCTAGAAAAAAAGGACCTGTTAATTATTCAGACCATAAGTGATTGCTCTTGGCTGCCAGACCATGGAACCTGAACCTTCTCTCAATCTGGTTAGGTTAGAGGTTCACAGTAAGGCTTTGCCAAGATAGACTGTTCTAGCATTCTGTCATGTAATCTAGTCCAATGAGTCCCACAAGTACTCAAGACTCCAGAAGTAGTTTAGAACAAGTAACCAATACATAACTAGTAATCTCCCCCCTCTCTCTTTTCTCTCTCTCTCTCTCTCTCTCCCTC